CCGGCGTGATCCCCGCGGTGCCGTTCTGCCTCGGCAGCCCTTGGGCCGCGCCCTCGGAGTGGCCCTGGCTGGGTGTTGGGCCCACGCTTTCTTGTCCCGGTGGGAGCGGCCCTGCGGGGAGCAGGGCGTGGGACTCCGTGACCTTTCCCGCTCCTTCCGTGACCCCTTCCTTATCTTCAGATATGGTGGGACCCCAAATCAGAGCTTATTATCGGTATTCGGTGTTATTTGTGGATGCTGGTCTTGGATTATTTTACTAGCTTGAAGCTATGCACGGAGATAATAAGTTTATGCTCAAATTCACCCTTTTTATTCCTACAATTTTATAAATGTTTCTATAAGTAGCTTTGGTAAACGTGAACGAATTTTCTATCTATTTCAGCAATTTTAAATGCATAGCTCCTACAAAAAGCTCCACTGGCCCATCTACTGAAAAAATGCACTGAAAGATAAGATTTAAAATGAATGTCAGTGATAAGAGTTTTGTTTTTTACTTTTTTATCTTTCAGATGAATACATGTAAAAATGTGAATAATTAGATGTTTTGGAAACGTGACTCATGGATTCTTGTTAGCTTCTCCACAGTGGCGCTTGCTGCAGTTTTCCTACTTGATACTTTGTGTAAAAACAACCTACCTAAAAACCTTTTTTTTAATAATTTAAGTCTTGACAAGAAGTAGCTTGAAACATTTACAGAATACCTTCTAAACAAAAAGTAATAGCCCATTCTAAATAGTGGAATTCTAAGTAGTAGAACAAATATTAGCCAGTTCTAATAGTGCTGAGGAAGTGAGCATTGGAGAGAATACTAGACTTTGAGGAAGGGTGATCTGCTAAAGAAGCCCAGTTCTGGTAATGATGACTCTTAATAATGAAAGAAGGATGATGTCTTGAGCCTTTTGCTGGGTTTATATTACTGTGCTGATCTTGAATTACTTCAGTTGGGTGAGAGTAATGTTCCATGTGCTCATGTTCCATATGCTCAGATACATGAAAGAAAAATCAGTTTGTACCCAAAGCTTTGTGAGAGAGGGTGAACTAGCTAAACATAAGAGGTAACGCAGATCCAAAAGTATCTTATTGCAAAAACAATTCAAAATTGTTCATGGACCCCGAGTACTCAATTGTTAAAACTAAACATATAGGAATAAATGGAATTGTGCATGTCAAAAAAAAAGGTGTTTTGCAAGTGTATGCACAAAACAGGGATGACTGGGGAAGCTCACGCTGTTTGCTTTTTCAGCGTACCACCTTCTAATTGTGTTTGATGCCGCCTCTAATAGTGCAGGGCAATGAGTGATCATACCCCTGTTCCCCTTCTGCCTTTCATTTGGGAATTTTGAAAACTTCTGAGGTATCCTTACTCAGATAGTCAGACTGAAGTCCTTGAATCTACATTGTTGTTTTTGTGGAAACTGTTCCCTTTTTTCACACCCTTCTATGTACTTTTTTTCTTGCTCCCATATTCTTTTTGAGATGAGAGGACAAGATCTGCAAGCAGAATCTAGGATGTGCATACTATTAGTGGCACAGCAATTTTGTTTTCTATTCATCTAATAATTTCCAGTAGTCAGTTTGGTTTGGCTGTTGATGAGCACTGATCTGAAATTTTCATAAATTATTTTTAGTGACCATAAAATCTCATTTCTGAGTAATATAATTGACTTGGAATGTGGTATGTGTAAAAACACATTTGCTGCTTCATCATAATCATTACTTCACCACATAGATGATAAAAAGGCAGGTGAAAGTCTATAGTGTGAAATGGAAATTACAAGTTTTAGCAGTCAACCAACAGCTTTATTATCAAAAGCTTAACCAGCCAGTAGGCTTCTTCACTGTACTGTGTGCCAACTTTTTCAATCATTTGTGAATGTGTAGTGCAACCCAGGCTTTATTAGCTTGCCAGATGGGACTGCAGTAGTCACCCCTATCCATTTTGAAAGGGTTTGTTTTCATTTACTCATTTGTTGGCATATTCTCCTTGGCAAATACACTTAGGGCATTATCTTTTTTTTTTCGTGGCCAGGAAGCTTGTATTTTGTTATTTCACAGCTGTGAACTTTGCCACAGAATGATACTCTTGAAACCACTATGGTAGCTCGATTTTGGAGCTGTAGAATTATTTTTGGTTAGATAACCTAATCCTCACAGTTTGAGATGCTAATGGTGAGTTTCTTGGGGAATGCAGAAAACAAACATAATACAGGATGAGTAAAAAAACTATTTTATTTTCATTAGCTATGAACTGTTGGAGGAATAAGTGTATGTGTATTGTGATTTACTGACTGAAAATACATTTCATCATTCAGGTTAATTTTTTTTTTTTTTTGTCCTTAAATTTATTTGTGCGATATGAAATATGGGCTCTTATTTAGGTCTTCCTGAAATAATTAAATAATAGTGGCTTGTATCATTGCCTGTAAATGAAGAAATGCTGCAGGGGACCAGGTTACCTCTCTGAGTTGCATTTAAAGTGCTTTTGCCAGCTGACCCAATTGGGAAAGCAGTATCAGATCCTGCTGTGTCAGAGACAGTATTAAAAGAATTCATTTGAGTTAGCCTTAGGCTTTAATTATATATATGGAACTGATGCCTACTACTTATCCATGTGTAATGTTTCTTCACTTGTTATAGGAAGTTCTGTTTTAAGGAATGTGATAACAATAGCAGAAAGATCTATCACTAAGCCCTGAAGAAGATTCTTCATATCAGTATTCATCTGAGATGGGGTTAGATTTACAGGTTGTATTGAAGAAGTGCTCCTTTTGCTTCCCTTTGAATGAAGCGGAAGTGTTTGTATGAGAAGTATTTTGAAGCTTTTGCTACTTTGAGAAGTGACTATTTGTGGCATAGCTTTAAAAATGTTTTGGTACATAAACCATTAACAGTCCTCCCCTGTTGTTCATCTTCTTACTTGCTTTTGCAGGAAATGAGTTGATTATCTTTTTGGCTGACCAAAAGGAGCCCTACTTTAAGCCCCGGGTTAAGTTACCAATGAAGTAAGTATTGATATGCAATGGTGAAACAACGTAAGCAGCTGTTTCTCTTGAAAGTGCATCTCTGTAGTCAGTGGGAATGTGACTAGAATTGTCTGTGCTGTTGTTACCTGTTGGATTATTTCATTCAGCTTGCCCTTAGAGCTCCTGTTCCCTGACCAGTTTCCTGATTAATTTCTTGATATATTTTTGTTCCCATTCGCTTGGATTTTGTGGGTCATATGACAGAATTTGCGGAAGATGAGTTTTGTCATTCCTATTGTTAACTAATTGAAATGCTGGGGTCTGAACCCCGAGCCCCGAATTAAGGTTGACATATGGGTGATTCCCACAGCCCTTCATAACGAGGTGGTGAGTTTGCCTTATAGCTTCCCCCCAGGGTGCGGCCGGCCCTGCTGGGGGAGCCATAAGGGAAAAGAGCCCCAGGGGTCCCGCACGGAGTGGACAAAGGTCAGGTGTCTGCTTGGGGATAAAAGCTGGGACCACTGGCAGGGAGTCAGGAGTGTCTGTCTGTGGAGTGCACTCCCCAGAGCTTCCTGGTTCAGGGCAGACCTCCTGACTCTCCCTGGAGCTGGGACCCAGTCTCTTTAGACCTTTGCGAATGCGGGTCGATCAGGTGAGAGTCGCCATGTGGGCACCTTTTTCTTATGTGTTTAACTGGCTGGGCTGGCTGTTTCCCATGCCAACTGTGGGGCACCTCGGGGCTCTGTTTGTACCACCTGTTGTGGGCGGAGTCACATCTTTTGTGGGATTGTTGGGGATGGCGTCAAGTATGTACCAGCTGATTGATCTGTTTGTACCCCCAGTGATCATTCATGGAATGTCCTTTTTGTGTACAATACAGTCTGTGTATTGGATTCTTTTTCTGCTGGTGGTATCATTTTTGCTGGGTCTGGTCATTGGCAGAACACTAATAGGTGTGATTTTTTCCCCCACCCCCCATGGAATTTCTGTGCTTTGGTCTTGGAATATTTTTGCAGTTGACTGACTTTCAGGACATTATTTTCAAGCAGAGCGAGCTATCATACCATATCTTAAGTAAAATCTTTTTGGCAGGTAGTTCTAATCTCTGACCCAAGACATGTTTTCAGGAAAATGCTTCTGGTTGCTGGTAGTTGCTAATGGAATCCAAGCCAATATCATCTGCTTGAGAAAGAGATAGGGAAAATGGCATTCTGGCATTTCTGTGTACGGATCTGTTCCTCTCTAAAGTTTAAATGTGGCTTTAAAACAAAACATCAGTTTTTAAGAAATAGAAAACAATCTGTGTGTTTATGTACTTACATATGTATAGTTGTAACTGTAATAGTATTAAGGATATGTTATTGCTTATGCGTAATGCTTACTAACAGGATGATGTCCATTAAAAGTTAAACTCTTGTTACAGCTCAGCTTCACCGTCTGTATGTTTTTATTTTTCCTTATTCCCTTCTTCTATCTTGGAAGGAGCTAATTTGTTTAGTGCACTAAAAATGCTCTGCTTTAAATTCTTAAGAGAAAGATCCATGTTTGTGTGTGTAAAATACTGAGTATGGGTAAAGAAAGAAATAAAAACATTTGTAGGGAGGAGTGGTAAGATGTGGCAGAAGACAGGAGGGCATGACATTGTCTTTAAAAAGACCTACCTCTCTGACTGCTGTTGCTTAAACTGTTCCTTTTGCTTTATGGTCTTGCTCTTGAAATGTGATCAAAAGATCTTGCTTTCTGAAACACATTTTTGAGAACTGGTTCTAGAACAAATGAAGGGATTTAATGAGGTCTAGATAGCATTAACAAACAGGGTAGGGCTGAAGAATGCCTGTTAGCTGAAATTTATAGAGTTTAAAAAGTCATCCTTCCTTAGAGGAAGGCAGCCTGCAAAATGCTTGATTTCAAGTTATATTTGTAATAGACAAGGAGTTATAAAAAGCCAGGTTGTTAAAGGATAATGTAGTGGACCACCTAATAATAATTAGGTAATTTCATAATAACAAAAAGGCAAGCCTTTGAACACACAAATACTTTCAATTTTCATTCACGCTTTTATACAACTATTTGGGATTTTTTGTTTTTAATTGTAGATCTCTTGGTGTTACCATAACCAGTGTAGTTCCTGGAGATTATGATGGTGATTCACAAATGGATGCCCTCTTGACCACCCGGGCACAAAATCACGGCAGAGATGAACTTTCAGTGTTTATTTTCTGGGGGCACAACCAAACATTAGGTGAGTTGCTGAGACTGATTATTAATAAGATTTAGACTTATTAATAATTGAAAGTATAATGAAAAATTTATAACTCATTTTACAGTGTCGTGATTGTTTTTATAACTAAAGTAGGGATTAGCAGCTATTCACCTTCGTAGTTGTTACCTTGCTATTGGAGTGTATTCAATAATTAAAGGGAATACAGCTAAAACTTGCTTTATACCATGCAACAGACATAACCAAACAATAGTGCCATTTGACAGTAATCTACTAACTGATGAGCTACTTCTTATGGCTTCCCCATTATGTATATCAGCTTCACAAAGATTATCTCAAAAGAATTTTCTTGAATTTAAAGTATGCTGAGAACCTGGTTTGAAGTTTAGTGTATAAACTTTCAAAATATCATAACAAAACTTACTAACAGTAATGTAACACTCCTTTTTCTGTTAAACCAAATTCTTTCATGACAGTGAAACACTAAAATAGGTTTTGAGAGAGAGGTTTCTAGAGTCTCTAGCTGGAATTTTTTAAGAACTGCAGAATAGAGTTGTCAAGAGCCTTTTAGCAATGTACTAGGTATAGCTGATGCTGTCTTAGGGTGGAATTGTGAACTCTATGAACTCTTGAAGTCTTTTCTGTTGGCTTTGCTAGGAGAGGATTTTGGGAAGAATTCAGGGTTTGAAGAATGACAGCAAAGCAAAAGAAGATACTCTTAAGTCCACAAAAACTACTGGAGAATAATCACTATTATAAGTAACTGTTTTAAGATAGTTACTGGTCATGCAAGTGATAGTCTTAGATACCACTGTTCTTGGCTTTTACCAGAGGTGAAACAAGCAAGCTGGGGAAGTGCACTGGATCAAGTACTAAGAAAATGAAGTATCTCTAGTAATGGGGAAAATATGAAGGATTTGGATTCATTTATGCTGTCTTGCTTCTTAACACATACTGAGAAAGGCACAAATGAGCGTATGGGGCTCAGAAAAGGAGGCAGAGGTTAAAAATTCAGGCAATGGTTGGTAAGTAGTGAGGCTGCTGGGACTGTATGTGTTGCCTGTTTGGGTAGTAGGAGTGTGACGGACATCAATAGGAGGGTGCTGTCATACAAAATTTGAAACTGGAAAGGAGAAAAATGGGGAGAGATGAAAGAAATGGGGATGATGAGGCAAGGAGTTGGATTACAAGTAAAAGTGAAGTCTGAGAGGTGAGAAGGTGATAAGGATTTAAAAGCCTCACTTCCCATTTAGGCAGGTTGCCTCTAATCCTTATTTCTAACACTCAAGGTTTATTATTAAGAATGTTTTTTACATTGACAAAACATTAAATAGATGTCTTGTATATAATGTTAAATTTTTAGACTGTCTTAATCCCAGTTATTTCAGATTTCGCATGTCTCTGCAGTCATACACAGAAATAGGTTTCACCAAGATCTATTTAGAATAATTTGTTGAAGAGTTTAGTGGAGAGAGAAGTTTCAGTGTTTTAACTGTAGCTCACCTAATAATTCCAGGAAGCCACTTAGTAGTTTATGTTCAGTGGTGGCTGGCTTTTAATTTTTCTAAATCATTAAACTGATGGTTGCAAATTAATAGAAGAATAGTTATGTCTAAGTTAAAGATGCAGATGTCATAACATACTGGTAACTGAATCAAATTAATATTTTCTGTTTTCAGATCTTAACCATAAAACTATGTTAAATAAGACTTTTCATGATGAACCCCTAGTAATGGAGTAAGTATGACCTACTTCTTTAGAAAACAACATTTATAATAGTGACTAAGAGCAATTTAAACATATTTTAATGCTGAGCTTTGAAACACATGCTCTTTTTCGTTTAAGGATAGGCTGGTTTGTGTAATGTCAACTGGTCTAACAAAAGATGAAGATAGCTTACATTCTGTCATTAATCTTATATATCATCCTGACAATAGTAACTAACTAAGATTATATTTTAAACAAAAATCAGTATTCGGTTTTATGCAGAAAAGAGCTATTAATTTTTTTGGTGAATTTTGTAAAGCACAAACCTTCTTGGATTATCAGACTCAGCAAATATCCTTCTGACAGTGCTCTTTCCTCTGAAATGCAAGACAAAAAAGAGAGAGGGGAAATATAGCTGGAATATCAGGTGCCTGGCACAGTGTAAAATACTGAGACACGTACTACTACCAGCAGCTCAGCCAAGAGCTGGAACTCAGAAAAAAACACTGAAAGCGGCTGAAAATTCCTCATTGCTTGGTGAGGAAAATGCTACCCAAATACGTGTTAAATTAAGAACAGTTATCTTCAACTCCTGTAATGGTTAACGTCATACTGAAATTGTTTTGTATTTTCAGCTTTAATGGAGACTTGATTCCTGACATCTTTGGTGTTACAAGTGATTCGAGTAAGCCACAGATACTGATAGGCGGGTAAGCTGGGGGTTTGTTTATTAGCATGAATTTTGGTAACTTATGCTAATCCCATAATAAATATCTTTGATATTTAATAATCCCATAGTAATTTGTATTACAGAATTCTGTGCTGTATGAAAACAAAGAGTTTTGAAGTAGAATCTGTAGAATTTAAGCTGAATTTAGATGGAGTGACATGATGATGCAAGAACTACTAGAACAGATCTATTATCAGTGATGACAAAAGGAAAATGTGTAAGAGTTTGAGGTAAACAAGATAAAAAATATTTATTTAGGAAATTAATTGTAACAGAAAGGTGAGACAAAATGGGAAATCAAGAGGACAGGAAATGCAAAGTATAAGGGTATTAAGGGTGTTTATTATTAAACAGGATGACCTCTTTTTTTCTTTTTTAAATAACTAAAAACATGGGTCTGTATATCTTTTCCAGTGACTCAGTGACTTTTGTCAAACTGAAATCAGCATACATTCAGTCTTTGACTTCTGTAAGGAAGAACTTTATTTATAGTATTGTGGGTTTGGGCATTCTTTGAAAAAGAAAGAAGCCTCAAAATAAGGATACTTGAATTAGAGTTCTTTCCTGATTTACAGATTTTTCTCTCTGTTTTCAAAGACTGTGCTCCAAAGATAGAGAGTTGGATTGTAAAAGGCAAAACAAATTCATTGTTCTTAGCTTTGTGATATTATGCAAACCACTCTTGACATTTCCTTTTTGAACTATTTACTTTTAACTGATAATTTCGAATTATGATTAATAATAAAAATAATAAAATTAATTCTGAATAATGCAAAAAAAAATTAGGAACTGTGTTTGTTAGGAAAAAAATTAGGAACTGTGTTCTTAGAGAATTGGACTTTTATATCAGTTCTTTGAAGAAATTTGCATTTTCTAAGTTGCCTTTTTGCAGCTTTTAAGTGGAACTTGATAGGATTGTTTTGAAGATAATATAGTAACGTTGTATAAACTTGCAGCTTTCTGTATTTCAGGAGAAATCCAAGTGCTGGCATTGCAGCTGGTTTAGGTTTGCATACAATGAACACTTAGGTTTCTTTTAAAATAAAGTGTTTTAGGAAGTCTTTGCATTCTGATGTGGCTTTTTTAGATGCCTTTTGAAACAAGAGAAACAGTTATCACTGGAGAAAACTGAGATGATTACTCTGTCTCTATGGCAACAGTATATCAGCTTTCTATCCTACATTTCCATGGCCCTTAAGAGATGTTTAGATAAGGATTTCCCCCACACAACCATCAGTGAGTTTAGCAAATCTGTACCTGGTGTGCCTAACTGGCTCTTTTACTTTCCTCAGAGATCATTTAGAAGTGATGTAGGATAAATAACCTCTAAATGCGTAAATAGAAACTATGCACTTCTTGGCAATATGTTTTTGGTCATTAACCTTGATGTTTTATCAGCATTACTTTTATTTAAATTGATGGCTTATGGAACAGATTTCAAATTCACAAGGGTGTTTCTGAACACCTTGCATTGATTATATGTTGAAAAATATTATGAGCTTTTGAAGATATGGAAAAAGGGGAGAGATTTGTCTTGTTGCGGAAATCCTTTAAGTAGATACAAAAAATACTCATTACAGCTCGAAATAAGGCTGAGTGCTATAAGTAAAAGCTTAAACAATGTCTTATACATGGAAAACAGGTTCGTGTCATCTGTTTAGAAAAGCATTTTTCTATTTCTAATCTAAAATGTTTTTAAACTTATGCTAGAGCTGTATAACTAACTTTCTTGCCCATCTTCAAAACTGAATACATATAAAAGCCTATAGAATATATTTAGGTTTTTTTTTTTTAAGATTAAGTGATTCTTTTAACCTTTTTAGCACTCAGTTATCTCTGGCATGTAGTCAGAGGCTTTTTTTTTCCTTACCATAAAATGAATCTGTGAAGATAAGGACTTCAGTAATATGTAATGGCAGTGGAATAATCCAAGTAATTCCAGACAGTAGCAGTATCACTGTTCCATTGTTGTATAGCACATACTGAGATTTTTCTGAGCTCAGGGTTCTGGAAGCAACATACCTGATTCAATGGCTATGTCTTCTGAAGGGTTTGTTTTATTTCTGTGTGCTGCTAATAGGGAGGTTTGCTGGAAGTTCAATCATTTTTGGAACAGAAAGCAGCAGGGAATGTATGTTTATAAATAAAATTATCACCTGCTTGGCAAATTAGATAACTAGCCTGTAGTCCATCATGATGTGATAGATTAATTCTTCTGCTTATTTTTTTTTTAAGTGACTAAAAATCAAGTTCATTTACATGCAGCAGGCATGAGCTGCTTTAACAGCATGTAATTATGTCCTTTTTTGCTCATGGTTGTTCATCCCAAAGTAGATTTCAGAAGTACTGACAGCAGACCTCCTTGAGGAGACCCAGGACAGCAGTCAGCATCTCAGGATTTACAGAAGTCTAGGCACTAAATTTCACTTTGTGGGTAGAGATCCTTTCCTGCGTATGAAAAAAAGTTGCTTTAGGAAGTTAATAAAGTCTAACTGAAGCCCTGTGCTGTGAATCATCCCCAGAACTTTTCAAGCAATTACTCTTGTTAGTTAAGATGTTGTAAGCTAGTAGTAATTTTAACTTAGCGTTAGGGAAACATACTTTGTCCAATTCTGTTTAAAGTTTCAAAATTTTTTAAAAAAGGTATATTATAATTATGAACAATCCCTACACATTAAGTGTATTGCTTTTTATTCTTCTCTGTAGGAACTTATCATGGCAGGCTGCATTGGAAACTCAAAGTACAATGTATATTCCACACTCTCATGCCTTTATAGATTTAAATAATGACTTCACTGCTGGTAAGTCATAAAAATATTAACTACTTTCCTAAAACTATTTATCACCAAGTATACAATCTAATGTATTGCAGCTTCCTTCTAATATTCTAGTAAATTTCAGTGATGATTGTAAGCGCTGGTTCTTGAATGTTATAATCTATATTAATATGATTTTGCTAGTTCTATGGAGGTTTTTTGTTTTAATGATTTTAATATACAAAGTTTAAAAAGTCTGGAATTTAAAATATAACTACCAAAATTAATGCCCTAATAATGTTTTCTACTTGTTGATAATTTAATCAGAACTGATGCTTCTTCTGAATTATTGTGTTCACCATTAAAGCACTGTTTCCTGTTTTTCATGATACTGTACTCCAGTAATCAGTTTGCAACTGAACCAGAAGCAGTGCTGCACTGTTTTCATTTTGAGTCTGAAAGGAGTTTTATAGTTCATTCAGGAGAATGTTTTCAACACTGGACTTAAAATTTGTTTTCTGAAGACTTAAATATGAGTTCATTCTATTTTATTGTAGCTAGCTGTATCACTGAGAAAACAGCATGTGAGGCTTTATTCTTCTGTTACTAAACAAACAATCCTATGACCAGTTTATAATTCAGTGCTCACAAATGAGTACTGGAGACAACTTTTCTTATGGTAGATAAACTGCATTCTTCATTTGTTGGTGGGGGTGGCTTTGTTTTTGTTTTTGTGTGGTGGTTTTGTTGTTGTTTGTTTGTTTGGGTGTTTTTGTGTGAAATACACAATGCCATTCAACCATGGATTACCATGATAAAACTATTACTTAGATACCTGGTTCATACCTCCAAGCACATTTAAATATTGTGCTAAACTTAATTTCTTCATACACTAAACGAATTCTGAAATGCTTTATCTTCTGCTAGATGTGCAATATACATCAATTTATATATGGTAATTTTTGAAAGAGAGCTTATTTTTTCCTGTTTACTAGCATGGGAATGAAAGAGGAAGGAGTCCATAAATTTAATTAAGATGCTTGTAAATGTTGGGGATTAAGTTAATTGCTTTAGAGCATAGTCAAATCTTAATATTCAGTTCTGGCACTTTGCTGCATGAAGCTGGTGAGTGGAAATTCCAACTGGAAAATTAAATTTAAGGTTGCTTACCATAATCAGTGTTACGTAATAACCAATTCTAACACATAGTTCTACAAATCCTTTGGATTTCTTTTTTAGTGGCATGGGAAGCATAGATGAGCATTCCAGGCAGCATTTTAAGATGAATATACTGAAATCTAAACTCACATGTAGATAAAGTGGGAATTTTTTGCAATAGTACACAAAGGTTTTTATTCTTTTTTTTTATATTTTATTTAGGCTAACAGCCTAAGAATGTCCAGAGAGTTCCAGTTAGTGCTAGTGATACATGGAAGTTCCCCTATGAAACAGAAATGAAAGTCAGGATCTTTGCAGGAGGGAGGTGCTGGGAGCTGTTACAGATTCACATCTATTTTCATGTCTCGAGATGTGAATAGAAGCTTCTATGAAGCACTCTCTCCTGACTTGCATTTGCTTGTAAGGATATAGCACTGCAGGCTAAAATGTGTTGTTACAGCAACCTCAGGAAAATTTCAAGGAACAGGCACTCTGGGATGAAAACTGGAAGAAATATTACCATTGAATCATTTTCCTTAAAATAATTTTTTTGCTTCAAAGATGGGAATGCTGAACTGTATTTTTGATGTCCGCACAAAAATTGGAAGAACTGTGAACAAGACATATATTGTTGAAAAACAACATTTTATTTGTGCTATTTGATATTTCATGACTGTGTTATTCTAAGACTGCCTGCTGCCAAAATGAAAAGTCTACAATCTGCTCCTATCTGCACATTTATGGCAGTTCCCTCACATCAGCAATAGCAACAGCTCAGGAACTGAGACCAGTGGGAAACAATTCATTTTCACATGAGCTATTGAGCTGAGCCAACTTGCCATGCAGCTTCAGGATTGCCAAAGCCAACGTAAGCACAGAGAGAAGGTTGACTCCTCTTTCAGTAGCAGCAGTTGTAGCCTGCCTTTAACCAAGCATGAAATTGTACTTTGAGTCTCATTGTGCCTTCTTAAAAAAAATACCTGTTTAGTATTCTCACCATGTCTCCTTTAATTTGTGTTAGTCTATACAGAATTGGGCAAGTGACTCATAGTCATGGAAGTAGCAGCTGATGTAAATTAAGAAAAAAGAAAGACGAACCAAAAAAACAACCTGTATGTTGCTGTCTGTGCAGTTCTGGTAGTACCGCAATTCCAAATGCACTCTGCTAACCAGGTCCAAAGTGAAGTGCTGATACTGCTGCAGTATGCCCACAACTAGTCCTGGGTCACAGTCTGTACAGCCTTGGTGGAGTGCAGAAGACAGCTAAATGCTTCTCTGTTCAGCTCTGCTCCTTGTCAGCACAGCTGGGGCAGCACAGCCCCAGCAGGCAGCTCTCTACCAGCAAAGACAGCACAACTCACATGGTGTTATATCCCAGTGGAGTCTCTTGGTGTTTGGCTCAGGTACACCTAGTGAAGAGCAGACGATTCCTGTGACTCAGTATTCACCCATGCTACCATTCTGGAGTTGAAACAAAACCCCATTAAGAGTATGGGGCCTGGTATACATTAGAACCATATTCATTAGGAGGGAGGTGTTGATGAGGATGGAGGGGAATAGTCTGCATGATGAAATTCTACTGTCTGCAAAGTAATAATCATGATATTTGATGCTGCTGTGGTACTTTTTGACAGAAAAAGTAGCATTGCCTGTGAGTAAATACTCTATAAATGAATATGGAGATAGTTGTGCCTAAAATGGATGCACTGTTAACAGATAAAATCCAAACCTCCAGAATATGCCATCTTTACTTGTTTGGAGAGGGGAAAGTGTGTGTTCTTAAGACCTTTTTCTAATACTCTATAATGTTTTGGGGCTCTTTGTATTCTGTAACAGATGCAGCCAATTCTGTGATTTTGAGCTGAGCTATTCTTGGCAACTCGATCATTTTGAACAGCTTAGGAGATTTAAAGTGTGCTTGACACAAAAAAAAAAGAAAAAATCCTCTCTGGGATGAAAATCTTTCTGCTTGATTATTGCCTAACCCATTTTCAACCTGATGATACTAAATTTTGGAAACAGAGCTTTTAATTGGCACACTTAGGCTCTGGGTAAAATGAAAGTGAGTTGCATTATATGAGAACGTGTTCATAAAGATGTTTTTAATCCCTAACGGTGCTTCATGAAAGGCTAACTGTGAAAGGATTTTATAATCCAAAAAATCCACTAACCAGAACAAAGATAATACTAATCTTTCTTGGTGAGATACAAACTAGGCTGTATCAGATAGCAGTGCTGCTGTTGTTTTTAAATAAATCATCTTCATGTAGAAATCTCAGCTTTTTGTGATGTTTAATTCAATAAGCAATTTTGAATTGGGCCAGGAATTTTATATAATGCGTGCAAAAATCTGCAGTATAAAACTTTTACCATAGAGTCTACATGTGATTTATGGATAAAGTAAATACAGAAATACTCAGTGTTTTCTGCACGTGTATTAAGCATGTCTTGCTCTGGGGGGGGGAGTATGGAGTTGACAGAATGGCTGAGATTGGAAGCGATGTCTGGAAATGGTCTAGTCAGCCTACCTACCATCAATGTCACTGTTCCTACCTGCACTGAGACAAAGGTGAGGTGAAAATGTGGTGAACCTTATTAGAATAGGGTTACTTGGGTGTCTAGTAATACATGCTCACACTTGTCATTAGTTCTTTGTAACACCTAGCTGAAGAAAATAATCTTGAAGCTAATAATAAAAGGCTTGTCTCTGTGTTTTATAGAGCATTGATGGTCCAGGTGAGCATTTCCAAAGCAGGCTCCGCAAGTGGCCTGTCTTAAAAAACATCTTGTCCTCAAACACAAAAATTGACATCATGTGACTTTAGAAGTATTTGTACAGGATTTAACTTTTTTGACTTAAAGTGAAGGAGGTAAAATAACTTCTCTTTGCATTAGTCAGCTCTACTCAAAGTAAAAAGGAACTCGATCTTTCTCAGAAATGTTTCAGATGGGTTAGTTCAGAGATGGAGAGAACTGTTTAAGTAAACAGTATCCATAATATGGTCATCATACTGAAGATTTTACAGCTGAAATACATGAACTGAGCCATGGAGAGAAAGTATTATAGATGGGAACTGAGGGCAAATTGGGTTAGAGGACTTGATACCAGAGATTACATAGTGATGAGTACCAATATGCACCATCTGTTTAAAGCTAGAGAATAGGCAAACATGTTTTGGTTATGACATTGTTGACCTGCATCACAGTGAGCATTTTCAGAAAAATACTCTGGACCAAGCTGAAGTTTAAATTTAGCCTGGGTCACTAAGCGAACACCAATTAGACTGTCTTAACATCAGCTCTCACAGGTGTGTCCTGAATGCTTTACCTGATGATGAAATTTTGAGGAGAGCAATTTGAATTTTTTTTTTTTTCTAATTAGTTAGCGTGACTGTTCCTGTCTAAAACATCCAACAATGTCAGTTGTTCATTTAGGGCTAATGCTGTCTTTCTAAGCCAAAACTGTACTTCTAATACTTTTTTCCTCAAGTAATTAATAAACAATAAATTAATAAACACTCAAAGTTACAAGTTCTCTACCAACAAATGAGGCCGTGACCCTGCAAATATTTGTAAAATGTTCAAATATATCAGACAAACTACCTTGGACTCTGAGTCATACCATAACTTCATACTGTACCTCTGTCAATGTATCTGAATGCTATGAAGAGTAGCTAATGTATTAAATACTCTGTCGTCTTTTGGTTATGTGAAACCTAAGTTGGGTAATACTGCTTTTACAACCTGGTTTGTGTTGAACACTAGCACATGTTCTGTATAGTGACAGATATTTCTGTAACTGTTTATATAAAATGAAGGAAAAATTATAAACTTGATTATAGGAAAACTGAAGTGGAAAAATCATTAGTCAGAAACAGCTTGCTATA